GAACAACGGGGTTAAGTAGACTTTGATGATCAGCAAGCGTTACAGCAGTCATACGCTCAGTTCTCCTACACGTGGTCAGTGTTCAAAAAAATCACAGAGTGTACCCGTTTTTTATTTAGATATCAGCGAGTACATATTTTCCGACTAGTCTCAATTAGGTAAGTAAATTCCAGACAAAGAGGCATGCTGGAAAAAAGTACTTTCGTGGAATGCTCTTTTTGGAACCGAAAATAGAGTCGTGGGCGAGAGACTAGACAGTTGAGGGAGGGGATGAATGATTGAATGAATGAATGAATGAATGAATGATTGAATGAATGAATGAATGAATGAATGATTGAATGAATGAATGAATGAATGAATGATTGAATGAATGAATGAATGAATGAATGGACGATTGGATGATGGAGTGCATCTGCCTTCTGGCTCGATCTACTAATATTTAAAACACTCGGTACAAATTCTTGCCTCCGACCTCTTGCCTTTTCTCTCCGCTGTTCAAACTGCCTGTGAGTTTTTTCTTTTGTTTAAGCTGACCAAACGAACGCGGCGGTTCAAATTTGACTTGTGTTTGTGCTTTGAGGGAAATCGGTCTGAAGGGCGACTGACGAGCTGTTCAAGCTACCTAGTAGTTAGTTGGTCCGTTTACGTCAAACGGCTATAAATCACCAAAGGTTCAACATAGGTCAAGACCACCTGGCTGGCCCTAATTTCAAAAGTGGTTTCATACAATCAACCACGTTGATTACCAAAACTTCCGGTTCACCACAAGCTGGCTCTTGACGGTGGATGACTACGCCAGACTACGCCAGACTCTTTGTTCAACCTACTTCAAAGAACCTTAGCGAAAATTTGCTCAGCAAGTTTACAGTACGCATCAACCACGTGATTAATTTTCCAAGACAAAAGAAAGCACGGGCTGGTACTGAAAATGCTTACCGACAAGCTAATAGACGTTGGTGCACAATTACATATATACATTTTCAAAGTACATCCGGTTGATCCCAGTTGTGTATATTTTTCGCAGTGACTGAACCGTGACGCTTGATATCTTCTCTACTGATTAAAGCGTTGTGGACTAATAATAATAATAAGTATAAGCGTCACGTGATTCTATCGCTATTGGTCGGCCAGATGAGCGGTCCTTCTCCCAACGTGTTTTTAACACGTAACTACTAAATTGCTACACTAGTGATCTTCAAAGTTTGTAAATGTTCCCCTCGATAGTTGTCCGAAATGCTGTCTGAGCATATCGAAAACAATTCACGCTCGGCTGTTCAGCCAGTCAAGTGATATGATCATGTGACTTTAAACATTGTTCAACTGTAACACTCCTTCGGTGCCAAGCTGACGTCCTATCCAGAACGAAGCACGAGGGCTGAGATCCTGTCAGGCCGCCTGAGCCTAGATAGGAGCAGTCAAGATGTGGAAATTCCCTCCTGCCACGATTTTGTTTTAATGCATCAACATATTATTAAACACGATTGATGGGTCTTAAAAGGGCACCCATTTCGACTATGTGCATGCCGACAGTTTTGCTCGGATGGTCGGATCGATAGCGAACAACTGTCGGACAAGAGTCGACACGACTGAACCTGTGTGAATACGTGCACCGCACAAACTAACTGAGTTGTGTGCCATCTAAGAGGTTGCCAGTCCAATACAGGGGTGCGATAGTAACGTCTGGTCATGTCATGTTCCACCAACTGTGTGCAGTCATGTCCGCATAGTAGCAAAGGTAATACGATATCAGTAAAAGCATTATTGAATTACCAGCAGATTACTGTTCACACCTATAGTGGTAAGCAATCGCTAGTGGCGCATAAGTTGTTATAAACTGGGAATAGGTTTGAAGGAAGCAATGGCTTGGAAGGAAGACTGATTCACACGACAAGAAGTTGTCACTCGTGATGTGAATCCGGCAACTAAGAGATGCCTGGCGGTGTATCCGGCCAAGGGCCTCTGAGCCGGACGCTGTGCTGTTCACTTACTAGCCTAGTGATTCGTTAAATACCTTTTGCTGATGATTCCAAATAAAGCTGAGACAGCTGTACTGCGCTTTTCTGGACACTCAGCACAGTAAACTGTCATTCAGCTGTAGCACCTTTTCGGTGCCCAATCGCCATGCGGAAGCACGAGGGCTGGGATACTGCCAGGTTACCCAAGTCCAGACAGGGGAAGTCGAGAGACAAAGGTCGGTTTCGAACCAAGCACATTCCCGCTCTCGCCCATAGACCCAACATGGACTGACTTCACACGGGGGTTGGAACCAACCACAAGGTCTTCAAAGTCCATCTTCGTCAAGCTAACTTGGAGGGCAACACGAGTGGCCAGGAAATCGTTTTTCGTTCAGTTTGGAAAGTGAAATTACAATGAGATGATATAATAAGAAGCGAACAAATTTTTGATTATTATTATTCGTCTTTTGAGAAAGCAATCAGAACATGTCGCAGAATGACCTACCCTAAGCAAGCGAATCAAAATTAAGAACAAAGTACCAAGTCCGCTCGGTTCACTCGAACCCAGACAGACTGAATAGATTGCGAATGGAAACATGTCTGTGAAAGTGCAGTACCGAGCATTTGGAATTTTCGAGAAAAAAAACAGGATTCGCACTGTCGGTCTTCGAAAGTCAACCAGGATCTCGGTTGGTGTGTACCTGTTCTGCCAAATGTAGGTGACAATAGTCGCTGAGTGGAATATGTCCGTTTGGATTTAGCAATTCCATTTCAAGTGTAAGCATCAAAATTTCAATATATTCTTGGACGTTCTCGAGTATGAATCATAGTCATTAGTATTCCTCACTTTCTAAAGCCTGTGCAACGCAACATAACTGACAGGACGCACATCCGGTTAACTTTGAAGCATCTGAGCATAACAAGTCTCAAATCAAAGGATAGACCTTCGTAAGGAAAGACACACTGTTGAATTGCATGTCGATATCAAACATGCGGTTGACGAGAGACAGAAAATTATTTTCTATAGAGGAAAATGTCGGTAGCTCAGGTAGCGTAGATGGTGTCGTTGGCTTGCTCGCTGAGCTGGGCAATTTGATTGCAAACGTTTCATCACCAATCGAGGTGACATCATCAGTGCGTTATTCGGGAGCGTGGTGGTGCGTAGCGGCGGGCTAGTGGTTGCGCATTGGGAAGTCTTACGCGTGTGTTATTATACGTGCTGCTAGCAGGGGATGACCTTTGATCGCGATTAGTTGTTCGGTCGGGCGATTGCATTGGTTGCTCCGGTGTCCTGTGTCCCTATTCGCCGATGCCCACGTGACCTTTGAACTTATCATCCCCTCCCGTGGTAATCTGATCAATGCTAGGCTGACCTTTGTCCTTTCGAGTCCCGGCTTGTGACCTTTATTGATTTGCCTCCAAGGAGTTCCTTGTTTCGTTTATTGTGGGTCCGATATTCGGTCCTCCTTGAGTGTTCCGATTGAGATGTTGGTCTTTTGCAAGTAGGGGTGCGTAGATTGGATCCAGTTCGATCCATCGGTTGATCGAATCCGCCGTGGAATACCATGCTTCCAGAAATTCTCTTCCGTGTCTCGTGTCTCCGTATGCCAGAATTTTTTCGTTTTCCAGATTGAATTCGTGGCCTTCTTGGTCCTCGTGTATAGATATCAGGGGCAGGGGGTCATGCCTCCTGACGGATGCGTTGTGTTCCTGTATTCGTGTGCATAGCCTCCCTCCAGATTGTCCGACGTAAAATTTGTTGCAGTTGTTGCAGTTTAGTTGGTATATCACATTGTTCCTCTTGGTTTTGTCCCGGTTGTCCTTCGAGTGGCATTCGGTTTGTGGGCCACGAAGATTCCTTTGTGAGCCAATAATCTGGTTGCGAGTTCTGATATATTCTTGATGTAAGGTAAGACTATGGGTTTGGTATCTTGTTCTCGCTGATATGTCTTGTTGAGATGTCTTCTTATTCAAGCTTCTGTTGATATCCATTGTTCTGGAATACTCTGAACAGAGAGTATTCCTCTTTCGTCCGTAGTTCTGTGGTGCTTCAGCGTGTCTTCGCCCTCTTGAACAAGGTTTGCACGCAGCTCTTTTTGTGGTTTAGCCGGATGATCGCTGTTGTAGTTCAGTATTTGATCCGTGGGAGTCTCTTTGCTGTACACGAAGGTTCCTAGAGTCCCATCCACCTTTCCGTTCACTAAAATGTCTGAGAGTGGTAGCCGATTGTTTCTCCGCAGTTCGATTGTGAACTTGATATCTTCAAACGTTGTGTTGGCAGTTCATGACACACACCGATCGGTCTACGGCTGACTGTGACCCTCGGTTATGCACAGTAGCATCAGCAACCGGACATCTACCTCGCCGCCGGGCCAGGTCACCACCCTGCTGCTAAGCGGGTTGGAGTGTTGAGTCGTTGGGGATCCCATTGAAGTTTCTTCCAGCTGTTGATATGTTCGTCCGTCGAAGGTGAAGTACGTATCCCTGCGAAAGTCCAACAGTTTGCATATACTTTCAGGTCTCATGGGTTCTGTAGTGTTTCGATTATTCCGAAGCAGTTCCGCTGTGTTTTCCCGTGCGACCACAGAAAATTACTTCATGTCGCCAAGTTTCACTTTTGCAATGTCTTTGGGTTCGGGTGAGTTGGTGAGAGCTGGTGAGCATGAATCTTCAGTAAAGTATATCGCCAGTTTCAAACGTCCTTGCTTGATGACTGATCAATCATTTAAGGTCTCATGTATTAGTGCTCAGTCGGATGCTGGTGGGTCCAGGTACCTATACGTATTTCTAAGATGCATATGCCTTTCGAATTCAGGTGAGGTCCAGACCAATGCACAGTGTTCCTCGCCATTAACCATTCGGTCATGAGCGGCCGATCAACTTACCCTCTGAAAAGACAGCGCCGCTCATTCTGTTATCACGAGGTTTAGATCACGTGGTTGCACGTTTTGGCCGACTCCTCGAGCAATGATTTCTCAGTTGGAAGCTCCACTCACCGACTGAGTTTTGTTCTCCCTCTAGACTAATTACAGTTTTCCCGTCGTTTGAGGCGATGTGAGCAATGAAATCGATATTTTGTTTTGTAAGTGAAGCCACTCTATTTTGAAGAGCTAAGTGGCACCGTGTACTTTCTATGGAGGTAGGTTGATCAACCGCTTATGCCCGAACGGTTAAGCCTTTAAACTACTCGGTGGGAGAGACTAGTTGGAGTAGAGACTCCCTGGAGTTTCGTGAGATCCACACCGATGATTGGCCCTGAGAAAAATGCAGTACTTCTGAGCTTCACTAACGGAAAAATAACCTCCTGAACAGAACAAATAAGCCTTCTGATTCCTCTATTTTCTTCAATAAAAGATAATACAGAGTTTGCTTAACATCTCAGAATGTATCCCTCTGGAGAATGAACATTTGGTGCGTTACATTCTAGCAGTCTTTCAGCGAATAAGCGAAGATTTCATATCAGTTTGATAGATGACAGCCAGGAAAGTTTAGAATGGACACTTTATTGGATGGATGGATGGATGGGTGGTTGCCATAAAGCT